GGGAACATTATTGGATGATACAGCTTGGCACCAGTGACGTCGCAGGAGTTGTCGGAATGTTTCATTGTATCAATGTTATCCGCCTTTCGGGATTCCATCTCTGGGTTTTGATTTCAGAGTTTCCTTCTCTTGGATGGGTTGCCTTCCAAGGTTAACGAGTCCCATCCACCCGGGTGTGACGTGTCTGCGACGTGTAGTGCAATAATTTGTGTTGTCCATCCAGCTGCGGTATGTTGCAGCAAACTTTTTTTTTAAAAAGGCACGTGGGGGGGGGTGTAACGGGGTGTATCGCAAAGTAACACTGGTATTACCCTCTCATACCTGGAATAACTACAATTACTAATCTGAGATAGATTGTTCTTATCAGTTTTCCCTTCACAACGAATGACTAAATGCGATTGAAAGATGATACTATGCGATTGTATGATGCTATTATGAACTATATGATTCTCTTAAAATCCAAACTTGGGGTAAAACCAACATGATAAAAGAGGTCGAAGCGATTATCATATTTGAGCCTTTTACTTGTCAAAAGTGCTGTGTCAGCTATAACCCTATGATCGTACTTTGCGATGTGCTTTAATGAGACCGCGTAACTCAAAAATATAAAAAAATAAATAAATATAAATCCACAAGTTTTGAGTCAACTGTGATTTTGTGATCAATTGTATGTGTGTACGTGTGGGGCACGTTTTAATTTGTGTCAAGTTGTGATGATTTGAGCAACCGTGCCTGGCTTAACGTGAGGTGGCACCCCCCTAAGATATGCAACGTCCAAAGCCCCCCCCCCACACCCACCCCCACAAACCGTTATAAGTTATATCAGCTGCAAAGAGATTTGTAAAATTATATCGCTAAGTTAGCGTGGATGTAATATCAGGAAGTTCTGAGATAACAATGATCAAATCAATGCAGATCAGTTTGTGGGCAAAAATGAATGTCTTAGGCCAGGACCAGTCTCAGAATTGATGAGACACCTTGATCGCAGTCCTTCATTTATTATCTTGTACACACATTTTACTGACATATTCAAGGACATATTCAGGGACATAAAAACTGTCATATTCAAGGACATATTCAAGGACATATGAAACAAATAAAAAAAAAAAGACAAAGTCGGGTATTAGTCAAAACTGATATGGATTTCCACATTTGTTCTAGAACAGGCAACATTTGTTCCTGGTTTTCCTGTACACAAAGTTGAAGTTCAAGATGTACGCATTATTTTTAAAAGTCCAGCGTAAAATACGCGTCCACCGTACACGCAAATTAAAGCTCTGGAGCGGTTTCCCTTGTTCTACAAATGAAAGCGTGGCATGTTTAAAACTATTACATTTGATAGATTACAGGTCTACAACACATTCTCTACTTGTCAGCATGCCAGCACAGTATCTGTAATCACTGGCAGACAAGAAAATAGGATATTTAAATATGTAAAAAAACAAAAAAACAACAACCAACAAACAATTCAATAATGTAAATGCCATAAGATAACAGATGAAGCAGTCAATTCTGAAATAAAATTGTTAAAATTAATATAGATCAGTTTGTGAACAAAAATTAATGTCTTAGGCCAGGGCCGGAAATAGAATTGATGAGGCCCTAAGCTAAACACGCCATCTCCCCACCGTTTTAAATTATATCAACTGGTTAAAGAAATGTAACTATATATATATATATAGTTATATATAAATATATATAAAGTTAATTTAGCTTGTATGTAAATCCAGCACGGTCTTAGACATAAACATTCAACACGGCGGTCAAATGTTAAGTTCATGGCCGACAGGTAGCAGTTTCAACAACGTTGGGGGAAAATACAGCAATCTGTAGTTACATCATGTACGTGTTATCAAAGAATGCACCGTACTCTTCGGGGAGCCAAGGGGGGAGACAGGCGGGCTTGACCAAGATAACGCGTGAGGCAGATAATGGAGCTTGATGTTGGTGCCACTTTTGAAATCAAACGCCTGCGTTGCCATGGTAACAGACGCAAATTTTCGGCGTGTCCGCCCGAAGTTCGAGACATCGTGGAAGGTCGAGCACTTGAAAACAAGGGCGCAAAGGTCCTTCGGTGGTAAAGCCGTCCACGGAAATCTGATTCAAATATTTGTCAGAGAACAGCTAATCTCAAATTGTAACTCCCCGTCCCACTTTGTGAATAACTCAAACTGCCCAGATGACGGACGTGTTTGCGTTGTTCCTTCAACTGACTCCGGGATGAGATCGCGTCAGTAGACAGTGACAGGACCAACTGGCTCTGGGTTGAGATCGCATCAGTAGACAGTGACAGGACCAACTGGCTCTGGGATGAAATCGCGTCAGTAGACGGGGACATGGCCCTTGAAAACAAGACCTTCTTGTTGAACGTGTACCAAGTGCCGTCATTACAGGATATACCGGAAGTAGATTTCCCAAAGGCAACAGGAAGCACATTCGCTATCATGACCTTGACCTAGACCCCCAAGTGAAAGTTTTGCTTCGTTTAACTAAGTCTGATACAAACTAAACGAGGAACTACAAGAAAATGTACTTTCCAGCGCCATCTGTCACCCATCCCTGTCTACAAAACACATTTCCATCCTAAAGGATATAAGAATACAAGAACTTGTATGAGGAAGAGAGAAAGAGCGAGAGAAAAAGAGAAAGAGAGCGGGAAAGGGAGAAAGGGAGAGGGAAATAGGGAGAGAAAATGAGAGGACGTGACAGAAAGAGGGAAAGAAAAAGGAGGAGAAGGGACGGAGGGAGTTAAAGGGGGAGAGAGGGAGGGAGAGAAAGAGAGAGAGGGAGAAATGGGGAGAAGGGAGGAGAAAGACAATGCCTCTGTAGGAGAAAGAGCGAAAGAGGGAGAGATTGAGTGAGGGAGAGGTTGAGTGAGGGAGAGAAATAGGGAGAAATAGATTAAATGAGATGGAGAGAGAGGAAGAGGGATTGGGGAATGAGTGAAATAGAGAGAGAGGGAGAGGGAGAGAGAGACAGAGGGAAAGAGAGAAAGAGGGATTGGGAATGAGGGAGAGAGAAATGGGGGAAGGGAGGGAAGGGGAGGGGGAGGGGTTGGAGTGAGAGAAAGAGGGAGAGATTGAGGGAGGGAGACTGGTAGGGACAAATAGATAAAATGAGATAGAGAGAAAGAGCGATTGGGTAATGACGGGAAAAAGAGAGGGAGAGAGAAAGAAACAGGGTAATGTAAAGTTGCGAGGCGTATAGCGAGACATAATGAGGCCAACGTAAAAGTGGAACGCCATGTGACATGTAAACTTATTAATAATGGTGACATTTAGGAGATTCTTGGTTATTTAAAAAAAAAAAAAACAACATGTGGAACATATATATATAAACGTGTTTTATCTCTGGCGCAATGCTTCGCAAAAAAAGAAAAAAGAAAAAAAAAAGAAACAAGAAAAAGAAAAAATAAAAAATTTTTTGGTTATTAAAAAAAAAAAAAAACAACATGTGGAACATATTTATATAGACGTGTTTTGTCTCTGGCGCAATGCTTCGCAAAAAAAGAAAAAAGAAAAAAAAAAGAAAAAAGGAAAAGAAAAAATAAACAAAAACCAAAATACAAAAAAAAATAATAAAATAAATAACAAAAAAACAACAACAACAAATTACCACAAAAAAAAAACCACACATAAAAGGATTATCTGTTCTGATGGAGAGATAAATTATAAACATATTTACAAATTATACATAAAAATGGTATTAGTTAAACTAAAGACTGTGAACTCATAACTTTATGCCAAGGTAGATAACCAATTTAAAAAAACAACATTTAAATGAATTATGACGATACAAAAGACTTGTGTTATCTCCCCTAATTAAGGAATGTCTTGGCAGAAATAAAATAATAATAATAAAAATATATATGCATCTATTATTTTCTCAAATAAATATCACAATGCTAAAACTGCTGTCTGTTTCTGGTGTTTGATCAGAGTCTGCTCGTGAAAGGACTCACGTCTTCCTCTATCACAGTCACGTGATTGTCGCCTGCGGGGAGCATAGAAGGGAAAAGGGGGGGAGGGGGGGGGAAGACCATCGTTAATATTTGAGTTACTGTGTGAGCTGTCCCTGGAATTACAAGCTATCAATCATTGTGATATGTTCCACAGAAATTATAAACGAACAATTAGTGTGTGATTTGTCAACAGCAATTATAAACCAACAATTATTGTGTGTGATCAGTCGACAGAAACTATGAACTAGCACACATTAAGTTGTGTAATAGATTAAAAAAAAAAGTTCATTGATTTTATAAGTACACCGGTAACGTATCGAAAATAGCCTCATTTATGTGTATAAACATCGCCCGAGGAAGAGTGGGTTTGTAATAATGTTAAATGGTAATTTCTTTCTTTAAAATTTCTCCCCCAATCCCCCCCCCCCCAATCTCAGTTACTGAAATTTTAGTTTAATTACATTCAATGAACGCCAAATGTGTGGGTTTTTTTGTGTGTGCATTCACCTGTTCAAAAGTACACGCAATGTTGATCTCGCCATGTTTATTTGTCTCGCCATATTTCTTTGCCTCACCCTGTTTGATTTGCCTCTCAATTTTTAGATGGTCTCACCATGTGTGATTGCCTCACCATGTGTGTTCATCTCACTAGTTTTAAGCGTCTCACCAATGTTTGATTGTCTCACCAGTGTTTGATTGTCTCACCAATGTTTGTTTCACCAAATTAGTTTTGTCTCACCAATTTCTGGCGCATCATCTTTCATCATCTCACAAAAGTTTGATTGTCTCGCTAATGTTTGATTGTCTCACCAATATTTTTTTTAAACTCTCACCGTGCTTGCTTGTCTCACCACATTCGTTTGTCTCACCACATTCGTTTGTCTCACCACATTCGTTTGTCTCACCACATTCGTTTGTCTCACCAATATTTGTTTGTCTCACCACATTCGTTTGTCTCACCACATTTGACTGTCTCACCAATATTTGTTTGTTCTGACCATGATTATTCGTCTCACCATGTTTCTCTGTTTGTTGATCATCACATTGATGTGAACTCACCTGGTGAGCTGAACTTCTCCAGGGCGCCCTTCACTGTCTTCTCTATGATCACGTGGTTTATTTCAGCGTGTTTCACCTGGCTGTTCACGTGAGGCTGGGAAGATAAGACAGAGCAAACTGAATGTTGAAGATCATCTCCTGTGTATCACAGTACAAACACTGAACAGTTTATGGCAACATTTCAGAGATAAAATTTGACATTCAGCAACATTCACTGGAATATTTACTCAAAGATACAACTTTGACATATCTGCCTAAAATAACATTTCCTGGAATATTTACACTGTTTGAAATCGCCGATTTTCACAATCAATTTGAGATTCACTGAATGAATACCACTGGGCCATTAGTGAAGCGAGATATTAGTGCTCGAAAATATGTCTGCCCAGATTCTATTACTTAAATAGCTCGTGTTGGCCTATGATCAGAAATACATTTTGATTGTTACAGTCCGAAAATACAGACTTTCTCATTCATAGTATGGGACTTACCTGTCCTTTGGTCAAGATCAGACATTCCTTTAGAAATGTGACTTACCCATCCATTGGTCAAGATCAGACGTTCCTTTAGAAATGTGACAATTGGTCAGTATCAGAAATGCATTTGGAAACGTGACTCACCTGTCCATTTGATCAAGATCAGACATGCGTTTAGAAATGTGACTTACCCGTCCATTGGTCAAGATCAGACGTTCCTTTAGAAATGTGACAATTGGTCAGTATCAGAAATGCATTTGGAAATGTGACTCGCCTGTCCATTGGATCAAGATCAGACATGCGTTTAGAAATGTGATTTACCCGTCCATTGGTCAAGATCAGACATTCCTTTAGAAATGTGACAATTGGTCAGTATCAGAAATGCATTTAGAAACGTGACTCACCCGTCCGTTGGCCAGGATCAGTTTCATCCCATGGAGGTCGCAGTCCAACATCAGAGCTTTGATGGACTGGATGGCGGTGAAGTCGACGTCTGCCAGGTGCTCCATGTCCAGAATAATGTGCCTCGGCTTGTCGGCTGCAATACATAATTACATGTCATGGTGTATTTCATGTCACGGTGTATTTCATGTCACAGTGTTATTACATGTCACAGTGTCATAACATTTCAGTGTTATTATATGTAACAGTGTTATAACATGTCACAGTGTTATAATATGTCCCAGTGTTATGACATGTCACGGTGTATTTCATGTCACAGTGTTATTACATGTCACAGTGTTATTACATGTCACAGTGTTATAACATGTCACGGTGTATTTCATGTCACAGTGTTATTACATGTCACGGTGTCATAACATGTCAGTGTTATTATATGTCACAGTGTTATAATATGTCCCAGTGTTATGACATGTCACGGTGTATTTCATGTCACAGTGTTATTACATGTCACAGTGTTATAACATGTCACGGTGTATTTCATGTCACAGATTTATAACATGTCACAGTGTTATTACATGTCACGGTGTATTTCATGTCACAGTGTTATTACATGTCACAGTGTTATAACATGTCACAGTGTTATTACATGTCACGGTGTTATTACATGTCACAGTGTTATTACATGTCACAGTGTTATTACATGTCACAGTGTTTTAACATGTCACAGAGTTTGCCTCCTCTTAGATGAGTTGCCGTCCACCAAGGCTAGCGAGCGTCCAAGGCTAACGAGCCCCACCCACCCGGGGTACTTGGGATGTTGGCTTTGGTGGGGGTTGAGGCAGTGTGGACCACTCAGCCACCCAGCACCCAACAAGGCTAGAAACAACTAGAACAAACTTAGGCCATCTACCTGCCAGGGCTTTTTCAATGGCTTGTAATTCAAGGTGCTCAGCAGCGGGGAAGTTTAAGCCTTGCATGGGTTTGACAATGAGGAAGCCAGTCATCGTCTCGTACTGAAATATAAATGTTACAATGAGAAAACCAATCATCGTCTCGTACTGAAATATAAATGTTACAATGAGAAAACCATTCATAGTCTCGTACTGAAATATAAATGTTACAATGAGAAAGCCATTCATAGTCTCGTGCTGAAATATAAATGTTACAATGAGAAAGCCATTCATAGTCTCGTGCTGAAATGTAAATGTTACAATGAGAAAGCCATTCATCGTCTCGTGCTGAAATATAAATGTTACAATGAGAAAGCCATTCATAGTCTCGTGCTGAAATGTAAATGTTACAATGAGAAAGCCATTCATAGTCTCTTGCTGAAATGTAAATGTTACAATGAGAAAGCAATTCATCGTCTCGTGCTGAAATATAAATGTTACAATGAGAAAGCCATTCATCGTCTCGTGCTGAAATGTAAATGTTACAATGAGAAAGCCATTCATCGTCTCGTGCTGAAATATAAATGTTACAATGAGAAAGCCATTCATCGTCTCGTGCTGAAATATAAATGTTACAATGAGAAAGCCATTCATAGTCTCGTGCTGAAATGTAAATGCTACAATGAGAAAGCCATTCATAGTCTCGTGCTGAAATATAAATGTTACAATGAGAAAGCCATTCATCGTCTCGTGCTGAAATATAAATGTTACAATGAGAAAGCCATTCATAGTCTCGTGCTGAAATGTAAATGTTACAATGAGAAAGCCATTCATCGTCTCGTGCTGAAATATAAATGTTACAATGAGAAAGCCATTCATAGTCTCGTGCTGAAATATAAATGCTACAATGAGAAAGCCATTCATAGTCTCGTGCTGAAATATAAATGTTACAATGAGAAAGCCATTCATCGTCTCGTGCTGAAATATAAATGTTACAATGAGAAAGCCATTCATAGTCTCGTGCTGAAATGTAAATGTTACAATGAGAAAGCCATTCATAGTCTCGTGCTGAAATATAAATGTTACAATGAGAAAGCCATTCATCGTCTCGTGCTGAAATGTAAATGTTACAATGAGAAAGCCATTCATAGTCTCGTTCTGAAATTTAAATTTTACAACGAAACTCCCATTCATCAGGATTAATTTGTTACTTATTAAGTTTATTTTTAAGCCTAGAGTCTAGATTTTTTATAACAGCAATTCAAACTTAATGTGTCCAAAATAATTTTTAAAAAATAAATAAATAAAAACTAGACCGAGTTGCTACCTTGATCTTTGGTCTTGCTGTTGGGTACAGCAACATGAAGACGGAAAGTCCAATGCCGATCAGAATACCATACTGGGGGGAAAGAGACATGACAAAGTTATATAGCATTAAAGATGGTAGAGATGGGGACGACAGATAGAGGATGGAGAGAAGGGATTGGGGTTGGGAGAGAAGATGGGGTTCGTGAGAAAAATAGTCACAGTCTTACAATTACGGTACAATGACGTCAACATGTCATTTGTAAAGATTACACACCTCTATGCCTAGAGATTGCATATACCTCTATGTCTAAAGATCGCTTACCTCTATGCATATAGATCGAATTCCTCTATGCCTAAAGATCGCATACCTATATGCCTAAAGATCTCCTACTTCTATGGCTAAAGGTCGCATACCATATATGCCTAAAAATCGTATACCTCTATTCCTAAAGCTCGCATATATCTATGCCTAAAGATCGCCTACCTCTATGCCCAAAGATCGCCTACCTCTATGCCTAAAGATCGCTTACCTCTATGCCTAAAGATCGCTTACCTCTATGCCTAAAGATCGCTTACCTCTATGCCTAAAGATCGCATTCCTCTATGCCTAAATATCGCATTCCTCTATGCCTAACTATCGCCTACCTCTATGCCTAAAGATCGCCTACCTCTATGCCAATGATGAGAGAGCAGACGAATGTAATGACAAATGGAACAAGATCCAGCTCTGAAACAAAAGTCAGTTACATTACATTACATTACATTACATGACATTACCCAATTATACAGGGGCGTAGCTAAGTTAAAGGCCACCCGGAGAGGGCCAATAATTATTTGCCAACCCTTCCATGGGTTTGGTATTCCCATGCAGTTGTCCGAAAATGCCCCCCCCCTCAACATAATGAAAACAAGCGCCGACCGGAGCGAAACAACCCCCCCCCCCCGGCCGAAGCCCCTCCCTACATTCCTGCTATTATGTGACATGATTTGTTAACAATAATCCTAACTTATGAAATGGGCACTTATGTTTTAATAATAAACAACCCCCCCCCCCGGCCGAAGCCCCTCCCTACATTCCTGCTATTATGTGACATGATTTGTTAACAATAATCCTAACTTATGAAATGGGCACTTATGTTTTAATAAATTTGAACCTTTGTCTATTTATTTTGTGTGTGTGTGTGTGTGCATATTTGCACTTTCCACGCAGAAACATTCATTCCACTTTCCACCAACACATTTAATCTAACTTCTAACCACATATTTTTTTTTCAACTTCCACCCACAAATTTATTCCACTTTCCAACCACCCACTCCACTCCCCTCCCCTCCTATTTACCCACCCCCCACTTATTGTTGGCCTTCCAGTGCTGTACGACCACGTGATACTCCACCATTTTATGATGGCAGCGATAATGACCGCAGCCAGGGCCTACTCCCACCCATCCATCCACCCCCACCCCACACTACACCTTCACTTACTGTTGGCCTTCCAGAGCTGCACGACCACGTGTTACGCCACCATCTGTATGACGGCAGCGATAATGACCGCAGCCAGGGCCGACTCCCACCCATCCATTCACCCCCACCCCAGCCTATCCCTTCACTTACTATTGGCCTTGCAGAGCCGCACGACCACGTGATACTCCACCATCTGTATGACGGCAGCGATAATGACCGCAGCCAGGGACGACTCCCACCCATCCATTCACCCCCACCCTACCCCCTCACTTACTATTGGCCTTCCAGAGCTGCACGACAACGTGATACTCCACCATCTGTATGACGGCAGTGATAATGACCGCAGCCAGGGCCGACTCCCACCCATCCATTCACCCCCACCCCAGACTACCACTTCACTTACTATTGGCCTTCCAGAGCTGCACAACCACGTGATACTCCACCATCTGTATGACGGCAGCGATAATGACCGCAGCCAGGGCCGACTTTGGAATGTAGTAAAACCACGGCGTCAGGACGCACAGGGCCAGGATCACGAGTCCACCCGTCCAGATCCCACCCATGGGTGTGCGCACGCCACTCTGGGAATTCACAGCAGTCCTGCGCAAAGATCACACCATTTTTTAAAAAAAATTTTGGACGTTATTATATTAACAAAAAATTGTGGCAAATGTAAATAACACAGAGATATTGTTAAAGATGAAATTAAAAAAAAAGCACACCAAATAATAATAATAATAATAATAATAATAATAATAATAATGATAATACTTTGAAAGGGAGTCAACAAATGATTCATTTTTATTAAGCTCATGTCTGAAGCAGTTATTCACCTTGAGAAACTGCCTGTGATCGGGTAGGATGAAAAGAAGGAGCTTATAATGTTGGAAGCACCGATGGCAATGAGTTCTTGGGTCGGGTCAATCTTGTAGTTGTTGACACGTGCTGTGAAAAATATCGTACAAAGGTTTTGCTCGAAACATGCCGTACATCAAACTTAAAGAGAAATCAAAATGTAAAGTCGATACTATGTCAATGCTGAAATGCTGCAAATGGTCCACTTTTATGATGTAAAGTGTAAACAAGCAACATTAAAAACAGCAATAAAGCCATTATGTTGTAAAGTAAATATAGCCTCGAGTTATTCAAGGGTCTCTGATCTGTTTCCATTGCTTATTTTCGCAGCGTGAATGTCCTCTTCTTTTTACACTTCTTTAACAAGATAAACAGAACGCGAAAAAGAGACCCAACCCCTGGTGACCCCTGGTGACCCCTGATGATCCCTGGGGGCCCAAACGTGAACGGAACACCGCCCTACTAACTCTTACTTCAACCGGCAAGACAAGAACAGGGACCCGACCTGTCGGCATTGCACGCTGGCCCCGGAGACAGTAGCGCATCTTTTGAATTCATGCCACCGCACTAGATGTTGCTGGGAAGGTGAAGGCCGGGAGCCGAGTCCTACTTTCAGACAATGTTATATCATGGCACTGCCAAGCAGATGGGGTATGCTGCCACTGTACTAGCCCGGGCTTTGAAGAGCTTAAACGCAAGCCCTCCACCAGAGTATGTCAGTTAGTTAGTTAGTAAAGCGTTCTCACCAAAAGCTTTTCCTATAGCCATATGCTCCACAATGGACAGCAAAGGGACAATACCCAGGCCAGCTCCAAGTTTCTAAAATAAAAAGTAAAAATGTTATTTCTGTTTAATCGACGTTCAACCGCTTTAGAACATTCCAAATAAAAGTTCATTTGTAAACAATAGTTCAGGATTTAGATATAGTTATAAATTAGGATCCCTATATATTTAAAAGGCGGCAAATTCAAAACCCTTTAAAGCAGAAAACATTCCTATTGAATTCAAGGAGTTAACACACTATGACTATAAATCTCTTTTGACTAGTGATCCTCAATTTCTCTGTTTGTCTTTTCTTATTTCTTATAATTTACATATTTCCAAAATATTTTTGTCCGTTAAAATATTAAGTTTCAGAGAAATGATACATACATTCGTTTACTTCCGGTAATCTTGGTCTCGGAAAACCCAACTTCCGGCAATAACATTAATGGCGAACTCGGAACACTTAATACTATGTAAACCACTTTCTGTTTCTTCTTGGTTTTTTGTTTTTGTTTTTTTTTCCATTTGTCCTGTCTGCTGTGGGAGGCTCTTAGCCGAAACGTTCTTCTTGCATGGTCCTGTCTTTATATTTCAAGCTTCCACATACCTTGTTGCACAATTTCCTTCACACGGATTGAACGCAGTCCTTCATTTATTCCCCTTCCTAAATCCCAAGTGTGTAATCGTATATTACAGATCCTTACTCCTTACCGCTATGATCATAAGTAAAATTTCCATGTAATAATATTACATGACTAATTGTAGCTCGCCAAACATTGGACATGCGTGAACTTCTCATTCCCCCTATGATACGTCACTGCAAAATTTTTATTTCATGCAGGTGAACTAAATTAGATATTCTGATGTCCCAATCACTTTGAAAACTAATATTTATTACATTTTATTTAAATTGAGATGATTTCTTTTTCCGAAAAAAGAAAGAAAATATTACCCACCAAACGCACTTCCGTTATTTTAAAAAAAAAAATCATTTAGCGTAGTTATCGGGAATTATATTTTTTTTTGCGCGCTATTGAACTCACTACTGAACCATACTTTCTTTCAAACATAGAGAATTATTTGTAATATAATCTCAATAATAATAATAAAAAATAATAATAATAAAGCTTATTTGAAAATAACGCTTCATCCCCAAAGGCTCGAAGCGCGGTACAAAGTCAACCATATTAAAAGAGAAATAAGAAAAATCTATATTATACCACATTGAAATACAAAACGCAACATTACAAAAACTGCATACGAGAATACCCATTCTAAGTCTTTCATCCCTTGCAACCATAAACAACACAGGCCACTTTACATCAAGGAGATAATAGCCAGCTGGAAAAGATGGTAGACGAATTCACCCCAACAGTTGTTTGCGAAATGGATACCGAATACGCTGAAGAGGAAGCAGACAGCTGGTTGGGGAAACAGCCGACCCGAAGCGTAATACATATTAGAAAATTATCCGCACCATGGCCACGTAATTACTGACATAATAATTACGTTATTGCCCTATTGGGGATCACATCTCAGTTCACGGCCCATCATGACAATCGATCATACTCACAGAAAGTAGTTCCGTGCCGGACATCGTGATGTTCCCGTTGTCGATATCAAACCGAGGCGGTGCGACGGGCGGCATGCCGGCTTTGATTTTACCGGTGACCGAGATGACGTTCGTGATCCCTTTGCTCTCCAAGATGGCCACCACGCCGGCCGCGATGACGACGACAATCACATTTGTGGCTGTGAAAGTGATCGGTGTCACATAATCCAGTCAAACAATTATCGTATTTACTATAGTTACAGCCCGCCAAATAATGGCGGCCGCAATGCGATAGCTCCCCATCTGCTAAAGTTACTTGACAAAACATGCATCCCAATAAGGGCCTCGCGCCCCCCCTCCCTGACCACACCCACATTGATACGCCAAGGCATACTTTTTTGTTTTCCCGCCCCCTGAACTATATTGAGATTCTAATATACCCCGCCCTCCCCTTTTTTTTTATTTATTTACATCGCAAATTGATTACGTCATATTTAAATTGAGACTATTCCGCAAAAAACAACAACAACAAACAAACAAACAAACAAACAAAAAATTACGCACCCAACTGCATTTAGCACAGTTTATCGGGAAGTTTATTTAGTGAAAGCGTTATGCTCAGTTCGCACGATCATATGTGCGTCAAATTTATTGTCGAACGCACTATTTTGTTTTAATAAGTAACGCGCTCAAAAAGAAATTTGAGGCAAACCTGATTGTGTGAACTGAGCATCAGTGGCATTAGTTCTTAAATTGTTACAAGGACACCTAAGTCTTCTGATTTTTTATTATTCAAATATTTTTGTTTCTAGTCGCAACTGATGGCTAATGGCAAATGGCTCAACGTTTGCATAGACCAGAGGTCCTCAAACTTTTTTGTCTGGTAGACCACTTGCCATGTTTTTTTTTTCGGTTTTGGGTAATATTGATTTTTTTTTTTTAGCTGACATGGACCCCTTGCAAGTTGTCGTCGACCCCTGGGGGTCGTTATTGACCACTTTGGGAACCCCTGGTATAGACAAACGTTAACCAAATTTTTCAAATTACATAAATGTATACATAAAAACATAATTTTTACCCCTTAATCACTGCTGATTGTATTCCTGATGATCAGAGTGAACTATTAGTTGCTCACGCCCTAGGACTTACAGTTTTGCACATACCTATTGAACGAGTCTTTAATATTGCCTTTTAATTGATTTACCTGTTCCTATGAGCCAAAGGGTTTTGGTAAATATTTGTTTCGGCACAGAAGGTGGGTCGTTGGGGTCATTTTTCCACTTGATTTCACGGAGCTTCTTCATGGCGATGACCAGGACGAGACTGGACAGCCCCATGGTCATGTCCCATATCCTGATGGGGGGAGAGTTGAATGAGATCTTTTGTTATACTGAGTTGATAGGTCTTGAATGAATGAACGCAAAAAAAAATATTAAAAAAATAATATAAAAAAAAATTTACATTTGATGTTTTCAAAGTTTGCCTGGTGTTGTTTAAAAACAACAGTTTGACGACTTCTTTGAGCCGAAATGTTTGCCGAAAGTAGCCAGACATGACGTGAGGTAGGCAGACCAGACATGAAATAATATTGCTAGACATGACGTAATATAGCAAGGCATGACGTAGTATAGCCAGTCATGGCGTAATATAGGAAACAAGATAATATAGCCAGACAGGACATAATGTAGGCAGACCTGACATTATGTGGCCAGACACGAAGTTGTATAGCCAAACATGGCATTATATAGACAGACTTACTTTGTGTCCGGCAGTTTCTTGCATGTTTCATAAACCATGGGCAGGAAGTCGTTGGGAATGTTCTTGAGACCGAGGAGGTTCTGTAACAAGACGACACGCCAATGAATGCATCCAATATTAAACAGACAGAGAATGTTCTGTAACAAGACGACACGCCAATGAATGCATCCAATATTAAACAGACAGAGGAGGTTCTGTAACAAGACGACACGTCAATGAATGCATCCAATATTAAACAGACAGAGAATGTTCTGTAACAAGACGACACGCCAATGAATGCATCCAATATTAAACAGACAGAGAATGTTCTGTAACAAGACGACATGCCAATGAATGCATCCAATATTAAACAGACAGAGGAGGTTCTGTAACAAGACGACACGTCAATGAATGCATCCAATATTAAACAGACAGAGAATGTTCTGTAACAAGACGACATGCCAATGAATGCATCCAATATTAAACAGACAGAGGAGGTTCTGTAACAAGACGACACGTCAATGAATGCATCCAATATTAAACAGACAGAGAATGTTCTGTAACAAGACGACACGCCAATGAATGCATCCAATATTAAACAGACAGAGGAGGTTCTGTAACAAGACGACACGTCAATGAATGCATCCAATATTAAACAGACAGAGAATGTTCTTTAACAAGACGACATGCCAATGAATGCATCCAAAATTAAACAGACAGAGGAGGTTCTGTAACAAGACGACATGCCAATGAATGCATCCAATATTAAACAGACAGAGAATGTTCTGTAACAAGACGACATGCCAATGAATGCATCCAATATTAAACAGACAGAGGAGGTTCTGTAACAAGACGACACGTCAATGAATGCATCCAATATTAAACAGACAGAGGAGGTTCTGTAACAAGACGACATGCCAATGAATGCATCCAATATTAAACAGACAGAGAATGTTCTGTAACAAGACGACATGCCAATGAATGCATCCAATATTAAACAGACAGAGGAGGTTCTGTAACAAGACGACACGTCAATGAATGCATCCAATATTAAACAGACAGAGAATGTTCTGTAACAAGACGACATGCCAATGAATGCATCCAATATTAAACAGACAGAGGAGGTTCTGTAACAAGACGACATGCCAATGAATGCATCCAATATTAAACAGACAGAGGAGGTTCTGAAACAAGACGACATGTCAATGAATGCATCCAATATTAAACAGACAGAGGAGGTTCTGTAACAAGACGACACGTCAATGAATGCATCCAATATTAAACAGACAGAGGAGGTTCTGTAACAAGACGACATGCCAATAAATGCATCCAATATTAAACAGACAGAGGAGGTTCTGAAACAAGACGACATGTCAATGAATGCATCCAATATTAAACAGACAGAGGAGGTTCTGTAACAAGACGACACGTCAATGAATGCATCCAATATTAAACAGACAGAGGAGGTTCTGTAACAAGACGACATGCCAATAAATGCATCCAATATTAAACAGACAGAGGAGGTTCTGAAACAAGACGACATGCCAATGAATGCATCCAATATTAAACAGACAGAGGAGGTTCTGTAACAAGACGACATGTCAATGAATGCATCCAATATTAAATAGACAGAGGAGGTTCTGTAACAAGACGACACGTCAATGAATGCATCCAATATTAAACAGACAGAGGAGGTTCTGTAACAAGACGACACGTCAATGAATGCATCCAATATTAAACAGACAGAGGAGGTTCTGTAACAAGACGACACGTCAATGAATGCATCCAATATTAAACAGACAGAGGAGGTTCTGTAACAAGACGACATGTCAATGAATGCATCCAATATTAAACAGACATAGGAGGTTCTGTAACAAGACGACATGTCAATGAATGCATCCAATATTAAACAGACAGAGGGGGTTCTGTAACAAGACGACATGTCAATGAATGCATCCAATATTAAATAGACAGAGGAGGTTCTGTAACAAGACGACATGTCAATGAATGCATCCAATTTTAAATGCTGAACGATTTTGCAGGCTGTATGTGAGTGTTGCTGGTTGATGGGGATGGTGATGGGGATGGCCATGGTGATGGTGATGGGGATGGCCATGGTGATGGTGATGGTGCCCATTTTTTCAACAAGTTTATCTCTGGCAGCTTATCACAGACGTGGGTTGTTTTACAATAAACAACCTCTCACAGAGTTATCACTGTAACTAAATGTTACACAGTTAAAATTGTAATATCCACAACATAATTTAAAAAGTATATTTTAACAGAGCCACGATGTTAAAATAAAAGAGGGGGGTTGGGTCGTAATTTGGTGCCAACATGGGTGCCCGCAGGTAGGGGCAAGGGGGGCACTTGCCCCCCCTGGATTGATTGGATAAAAAAAATTTAGGCAAAAATAAACAACAAAATTATTAATGTAAGAGAAAATAAAGAGAAAGTAATTAAGCTGATGTCCTGTCCGTTCGTTCACCATACAAATACGCTACAGTAAATTAAAAATATATTAAAACTTTACTAACAAAATTTGGAAATTGGAAAGTTAATCGATTTTTTTGCCCCCCCCCCTAGAAAGTTTTCTGCGGGCGCCCATGGGTGCCAAATGTTTACCTTGATCTGACCAAAGGCGATCGTTATGGCGGCCGCCGAGGTGAAGGCGTTGATGACGGGGTAGGAGATGAAATTGACGAGGATACCTAAAAAGAATTTGAACAAATATATTAACAGCGAGGATCTGGGTGGTGGGGGGTGTGGGGTGATGTTAGTGACGTTACTGTTTAAATCGTTTTGGAAAGTTTAGGAAGGCAGTGGTCAGCAGTTTTCAACCAGCAGGTGTACAATAAACTCAGTTGTTTCCTTTTTAAAGAGAGGTGGTGGTCAGGAAAGTTTAAAAAAAAAATATTTATATATATATATTGATTTATATATACGGGGTGGCCCAAAAATGTTATAACTTCACTTTATTGTCAGAAGCATAAACAAAGCGTCCAAGCTTACCAAAAAGTTGTTGAGAAGCTGGGAGATTTTTTTTTTTTTTTTTTTTTGGGGGGGGGGGGACCAAATGGCGATGTTTTTTTTTTTTTTTTTTTTTGGGGGGGGGGGGGGACCAAATGGACATGTTTTTTTTTTATTGATTACCGTAATAATGTTCATATAACTGTCGATGACAAAACATTGTATTAAATCAATGATATAACCCTTTGTTACCAGACGTTCTCACTTTTTCTGGGGGCACACTGTAGAATTAAAAGAACGCATAGAATCTTATATAATAATTATTTATGAAAAAAACGGCGATTAACCTTAACCCGCAGACGTCGCTACAGTTAATGCCGCCTGGAGCGGGCCAAGAAAAAAACTCTCCTGTGGACCGGCATGGTTGCACCCACCCCCCCCCACCCCACATCTTTTTCAATATATCTATGTTTAAAAAGTGTCTTCTGGGGCTAGTGTACCCAAGGAAAAGGATATAGGTAAAAGAATGCATATGGTGTCACTCATGGAAAATTACTAATAAGATCAAGTTCGTTGTGAGATGACAAAGGTTGCATTTTGCAAACTCTTGCTTGTCTTACTTGGATATTTTTCTATTGTTTATGAATGTGCTTAGAACTGCCAGACACCAAGGAGACTGTGAAATACCTAGCTTGAGGAAGCCCGTGGCCAGCTGAATGATCCCACATTACCTAGCTTGAGGCAGCCCGTGGCCAGCTGAATGATCCCACATTACCTAGCTTGAGGCAGCCCGTGGCCAGCTGAATGATCCCACATTACCTAGCTTGAGGAAGCCCATGGCCAGCTGAATGATCCCACAGATCAAGGTCAGCACAATGGTCATGGTGGCGTCCCTCTGACCGTTGGGAAGCACCGGGGACAGCGCGGTGCCGAACGTGGCCGTCATCAGGGACAAGATGGCTGTCGGCCCCAGGGTGATGTCCTTGGCCGTGCCCAGGAAGCAGTAGACGAAGCAGCCTACGAACGCCGAGTAGAGGCCGTACTGAAACAGACAAGGGCGATGAGGATGTTCCGGAGATATAGTTTTAGTTCTATTACCTTTAGGTACATATAGGGATATTATTTGATGATTGTATTGTGTTTTGTAGAACTGCATGCAGCTGAAAAGAATTGAAAAGTGGAGGGGGACAGATGGTTGTCTGTGACAGGGTGGGGGCAGGTGATTGTGTGCGACGTAAATTGGTGTCAATTTTCATTATAAAATATTTAATATTGCCTTGTAGAGAGAGAGTGAGAGAGAGAGGGAGGGAGAGAGAGAGAGAGAGAGGGGGGGAAGAAAGAAAGAGACAGAGGGGGGAGAAAAAAGAGAGAGAGAGGTGAAAAAGAGCGGGAGAAATATAGAAAAAGAGAGAGAGATAGAGAAAGAGGGGGATATATAGAGAGAAAGAGAGATAGACAGAGAGAGAGAGAGAGAGAGAGAGAGAGAGAGAGAGAGAGAGAGAGAGAGAGAGAGAGAGAGAGAGAGAGAGAGAGAGAGAAAGATATAGATAGAAAGATAGGGAGAAGGTGGAGATATACGAGAAAAGTTAAGAGAGACATGGAGAAAAAAATGAGAAGAAAAGAGAAAGATCAATAGACCTATACAGTTAGAGAGGCAGAGAGAGAAATAGAAAGATGTCTAGACATACAAAGTCAGAGAGAGATAGAGAGAGAAAGAGAGAGAAAGAGAGTGTGAGAGAGAAAGAGAGAAAGAATGAGAGAGAGAGAGAAAGAGAGAGAGATGAAGGGCGACGTACACACTTACCTGGGCGGGCAAATCAGCGACCTGGGCGTAGGCCAAGCCCTGGGGTATCACCGTCAACCCAACCGTGAGACCGGCGATCATGTCCGACTGGAAATGTTCGCACCTGGAAGGGGGGGGGGGGCCAAGTTAAAATGTCAAGTGAAAGTATCACCAAGGCAAGGAGGGGGCAGTACGTGCCTTGAGACCGGCGATCATGTCCGACTGGAAATGTTCGCACCTGGAAGGGGGGGGGGGGGTCAAGTTAAAATGTCAAGTGAAAGTATCACCAAGGCAAGGACGGGGCAGTACGTTCCTTTCACACTACATAAGCCGGCTGTGCTCTAATGATCGACTTGTTAAAACACACCCTAATGCTAACCAATGATATCAACGATTTATTAAATCCCTTGTATATTAACTTTTTTTGACCGACCTCCCGTCAATCTATCGAGCTCAAACTTGGCACATAGACTCGTTGCCGATGACAACGCATTCTATCAAATTTTACGCTCCACAGCCCCTCCCCCACCCCCAACACCAACCCCCAAAAATCTGTTTTTCAGGTTTTTCCAAGGGAAAGAGAAAATAAAATTCCCGATAACTGCACTAAGTGAGATTACTTTGAAGGTTATACTGCACGTGCGTTTGGTGCGTAACATTTTAATTTGTTCTTCTGGAAAAGTTGGTGAAATAAATCTTCAGGGGCGTGAAGAAATGTGCGGTTACGACCCTTGAGCGGGGGGGGGGGAGGGGTAGCCACTAATTGGGGTAATATAAATTGCGTTACTTGTATGCATGTTTTTTCAAATTTTCAACTCCAACCCCCCCCCCCC